CTCTGTGGCAGTACTGTTCCACACAACAGTTTACAAATGTCTTGGGCATTCCCCAAAAAATCAATTGGACTGTAAAATCTTTGGATAACTTGGCATGCAAGGCACTAACACATCAATATCTAGATATGGCAGATGGACAGTAGTTAAGATCCAGTCTGAAAACAAAGACACAGGGAACATGAGATTGAGGGAGACACCAGCTTCATCCTTAAGGGACAGAGCTGGCTGCAAAGGTAAGCTGGACAGAAGGAAGCCCGAAGTAGTGCAAACCCAGGGGAATATTATGGAAGTAGTAGAGATTGGGTTCCAGTGATCTAAGGCTCAATCATGCCCTTGTAGTCCAAGGGAAAATAAAGGTGCTCTTGTCTTCCAGTCATGACAGTCACATTGTGTTGCTTTCTCCAGTTTCTGGGTGCAATTATTTAGATCCTGGTGCGGAAGTAGGAGCTGACCTGTGAAGTTGCCACTGGGGTCCTTCTAGCTAGCTGCATCTAAATAACTGCATTGTGGGTCCTCTGAGACTGCCCTAATGCCTCACCACCCACAGGGTGCTCAATCATGCTGTAACTCAGCAACCAATTTTCTCCTTTGGTGTCCCCCACAAAATGCGTGGGGAAGAAAGGATTGAGGAGGCTGGGAATAGTGAAACTCTGTACCAGGGCAATAGGATGTTCTTAGAAAATGCAGGCCAATCCTCCCATTGTCTAGGTGCCTGCCTGGGGGCACAAACACCAGGCCACACATGTGAGGCTTGTACCACTGGGAGAATTTCTTCTTCAGTCCTTTGATGCCTGGCCTCAGCTCTTCATGGCAGTGTATTGCCAGTTTGGCACCTCCCTTGCCTTTATTGCCAGTTTGCCACCTCCCTCCCTTTTGTTTCTGACTTCAGATCCTCAGAATGTGTTAGAAAAACAGCATTGGCCTCTGCCATTACTCAGCTTGAAGATCTCCAGGGAAACCTCAGATGCTGAGAAGGTGATGTTAATATTACGTGGATGCCATGATTCCTCCAGAGTCAGTGGGGACACAGTGCCTATGAGCAATGTATAGGAGATCTGTGCTGATGGAAGTGCTAGCTGTTGGATGACACATAACACTCAGATCCTGATGGGTTGTGATCATTAGCCATTTTCTGTAATTCATTGCATAAGTAGGGGCAGTAGCTCTGGGACCTGCTCAAATTCTGCTTTGGTTAATTACCTTCTGCAGACTGAAGTTCCTCCCACAGTTTAATTGGATAGTTATTCTTCTTCACTTCCATTCATAAACTGTAGTGGAGTGTTGCTATGCTGTAAAGCAGCTGCCAAATTTTAGTGATGGGGAAAGTTTATGTCAAGTTTAAGTGATTTCTGTTTTAACAGAGTGGTGTTTTACTGTGCTGTAATTATAGCATATTTGTTTTTGTTATACACTGCCTTGGGAGCTGGAAACTGTACAATTGTATGATGATGATGATAATGACGATGACAGTGGTGGAAGAAAGCATTATATAAAATTCAGTCACTTTTACTGGCTGAGCTTCCATATCCATGGAGTTGAGTCATATAATGGAAAAGTAACTAAACATCAAGGAGAAAAGAATAATTATAAGGAGAGCTGGAGAACAGAGCTATCTATGAATATTTTGTTAATATGATCCAGGGGGAATTATCCTGACACTGTATAAGAGACTTGGACTACAGCACTTAATTCTGGCCTATATGCTGTCTGAAAGTGATCACAGACACGGTGAACTTGTTAATCAGGGAATTTCTGCAGGGCTAGAGTCTAAAGAGAGGCCTGATCCAAGGCCCCAGGTTTGAACTTCTTTGGGTCTGAAGGGATATTTGAGTACAGATCTAATCTTTTCAGCTCTGACTCATCACTACTAGAAAAGCTAGGAGGCGATTCATGGGAAAGGGGACTGCCAGGTGATTTCCTAAACAGAAGCATTTTTTAAGGAGAACAAGAAATTAAAGCTGCCCCTAGACTTCAGAAGCTGATGTAATCTGCAAGACCAGAAAGGTGCAAATTAAATTGGTGTGGTGCTGGTGGTGACACGAGGTTGCACCCTCAAGTGTTCCTGTGGAATTGTATACTGCCTCACTATAGGGATTCCCAGGTACTCTTGGCCTTGTATTCTCTATATGCCCCTTCCAGCTGAACACATTGACTATGCCAGTAGTCAACAATGACCTCATGGCCTACTGAAGAACCTTTTTATGACCATTCAAAGCCTACTGAAGTCCATGGAGAGGTACTCATTGATTTCAGGTCCTAAATACCTATGGAATTTGTGGCCCATGTGACTTAGACAACTTTCTTTTTCTCATACAGAATAGACTCATCATAGCAACAATGGGGAGAACTCAAATATAGAGTTTGTAAAGCACCTAGGCAAACCACATAGCTCTGCAAAGAGATCCTGTCCTCATTGAAGACAATGGCAGCTTTGCCATTGATTTGGCATGTCTAGCTTTTCAAGCCATGGCCATTTTAATCTCTTCAGAAATACAATATTGGGGCTTGCTTCTCTTTAGTTCTATAATTGTCTGCCCCTGTATCATAGATATCAGACTCACTCTCTTCCCCTCATTTAGACTCACCCTCTTCTACAGGGCAGTATCTTGCCATGGTTATTTTGAATAATTGTGTTGCAGTGGCACATAGGGGCACTAACCGAGACCAGTGTGCTATTGTGTAGGTTGTTGCACTGGCACATATAGGAGACTGTTCCTTCCTCAAAGAACTTATAGTCTAAATAGACAAGGTAGACAAATGAGGGAGAAAGAACTGGAGTTATTTTGTTGAGTATATCTAATTCTACTACTTGGTCCAATCTAGTTTTCAGTGGCTTTTGCCTTGTCTAGAAGGCTTAAAGAAAACTAGCTAGCTGGCTCAAATGGCCTTCTCAGGTGCTTCAACAAGCCTTTTTCAGCCTTTCCCTGTATACAAATCCAGCTATCTATCTGGGGGGTCACCTTTTATTGTATTTGCGTTAATTGATTTTATTTGGCAACTCACAGTGCTATGACTGCAGTTTTAGTAATAGATGATATCTCTGATTACATTAGGGTAAATCCAGGGTAACTCTGTCTGGGTCATGCTCATGTTGACAGAGTAACACTAAATGTACATCAGCGTAACTGAGGTTAGAATTTGGCTCATTTACAGTTTTTACCAATAACCTCTTTTCCCTTACCTAGTAATGTTTCTGAAGAAAGACTGCAAGTGAGTAGAAGCAGACCCTCATTTTGGGAGTCTGGGTCAACTCCCTCAACTCAAATTCTGCTTCTTCAGGTATTCACCTTTATGAAATGCATAACAAATCGTGTCTAATACCTTATTTTTCACATATGCATATTGACTTCACTGCTTTAATTAGTTTTGGGCCTTGCTGTCTGTCTTGTGTTATGCTCCTCTTCTCTTAGGTTTGTGGCTTTCCAATCTACCATAATCTGACCCCAACTCCTCACCTCCTTCTCGCACCCCAAATATCCCTCATTTACTATGGAACTAGATGCCACAACTACATGGGAGATCCAGGGAGGCAACTGTCCAACTGCAGTTAACCATAAGAGATTCCAGCGAGGTAAGAGAAGTACATGATTTTGTGCACTGCAGAAGATCTAGATGAGATTACAGCAGTGCCAGATTATGACATGCTGAGGCCCTAAACTATGTCTATTTTAAGAGGCCCCATATGATAAAAATAATCCCAGGTAGCTATATTTTTGTCATATTACAATGAAAATGTCCATATTTAGAGAATCATTTTCCTGTATGTACTTTATTTACCAACTGATTATTATAAAACTTGATATTGAGTTAGTTTTTTTCTTCTTTAGAAGCCCCTCATATTGTGAGGCCCTAAACTGTATTTTAAGTATCTTAAACCTAAATCCAGAACTGGATTACAGTTTAACTAAAGCAGTATAACTAAAAAGGCAAGGAGTTCCATGCAGGCTCATTGACACTGCTAAGAAAGAAGGTAAATTAGCTATTATGGGAAATTATTGCCACAGCTAGACTGCTTCTGGCACATTAGCTAGTTTGGGTATATACTGCACTATATCATGAATGTAGGTATACATTTTTCTAGTCTTGATGGTTAGACACCTGAGGGGGAACATAGCTGGGTTCCTGTTCTTGTTCCAGAGGATATTTAATTAGTTATACTGTCTGGAATAGCTTCAAGAAGATAGATACAGGGAAACTAACCCCAGAACACCCAGTGGTTTTGGCATTTGCCTGAGAGATGGGACACTCAAGTTCAATTTTCTGTTCCAGGCCAGACATAGAGGAAGGCTACTCTTAGGATCCCTTACCTCCCTGGTGAGTGCCTAACTGATAAATTGTAGGGCACAAGGTAGGCACAAGCTCCTACTCCTCCATTTTATAAATGGTGCCTAAGTCCTCATTCCTCTAATTTTATTTTAAAAGCATTTAAAGTGTCTGACTTCTTTAAGAAAATAGTTCGGCTTGAGTCATATAAAACTTTTTGTTGGACTAGGAATGTTTTTTAAAAAAATGCACTGAAAAATGTACATTTTTTGTTTGGAGTTGACCTGGAATTAATTGGTTTGATTTTCAGTTGTTTCAGTTTGGCAAATGTACATTACACAGCTTTAGCTGAGGCAGTCAATTATACTAGAAAAAGAGAAGCAGTGACATTCAGATAGTTCTGACTGTACAAATAGAGATAATTGGGAATAAGTGAAAGTGTAAGGGAGCCTGATTCTTCTCACATTTGCAACAGCCTCAAGCAGGACATTCCACTGAAGTCAGTGGCACCACACCTATGTGAAACCAAGTCGATGTGAAGTAGCTGACCAAGTTGTCTGGAAGCAGTGTAAGTACATGGAGATGGCAGTGGACAAAGCTGTATGTTGCACTGGCTTTGAATCCCTCTGTGCTCACTTGCTGACCTCCCTATTTGGCTTGGCATTTGGAGGAGAAGAGGCTGCCTGGTGTAACTCTGGATCCTAGCCCACATTTGTAGCAGTGGAGGAAGGACTCACCAATGAGTGTGGTCTTGGTTGTTGGCCCTGAGTTCCGTGGCACCAGCACCTCGTGGTACTGCTCGCCTGCCAGCGTGCTGTACACCACCTTGTAATTCTGCACCTCGGCCTCACTGTTATCCCACTCAAGTTCCAAGCTGGCTGATGTCCGAAACCCAACACGGACGTTCTTGGGAGCATCAATCTCTGTAGAATGTAAGAAAACAAATGTGGTTTCATTTCCTGGGCTTGTCCCCTCTGAATGTGAACTACTTGGTTAAACAAACTGTTGCCCATCAGTAAGGAATCTGAGTCATGCTATTGTGAGACTATGGTATTGAACTACCTCAGATGTTGCTGGAACTGTTCTCTGACTGGCAAGCAACATGCACATTTTGGGTGCAGTTGCACTTACTAAAGTGTCTGTCTGACATGATGCTTATATGATCCCCATCACTGTGGTATGTGAGCATCTATGGTAACTCACAGATTTGAAGGCCATATAGGACCATTATAATCATCATCTTTGACCATCTGTACAACACAGGTGGTAGAACTCCGTTCAGTAAGACCTAGATCAAACCCAATAACTTGTGAGAGCATTAGCAAATCTCTCTTAAATGACACTCAGCCTTGATTTAAAGATATCAAATGATGGAGAATTCCCCACGACGGTAGATAATTAATTCCCTTGATAAGTTATTTCAAAGACTGTTAAATTACCCCTTCCATTAAATTGCACTGACACTGAACTTCCCCAGCACCCCACTAAGGTAAGGAATAATAATTATTCCCATTTACAAATGGGTAAACTGAAGCATGGAATGATCAGAAAAGGGATCAGTGGGCACAGCAAAAAACTCCTGAGTTCTTCTTAACTGACTTAAATACAAGATCTCATGCTGATCTACAGACTCCAACAGTGTATTTTGACTGCACCGTGGTTTAGCACTGCTTATATATTCCTATAAATGTTAGCAAAATTTGCCCCTCGTTTACATAGTATATGAACCCACTGGAAACAATGGGCCCCCATAAATCTAACTAAGGACAGGATTTGGCCATTTTATATGCTGGGTTGTTGTATGTAGGGTATAACTATTAGCCAATTTTCTTTTATGGCTTTTTTTTTTATTATAAGCTCTTATAGAAATAAAACAAGAAAAGGCAGACTCAGCAAATCAATATACCTGTACAACTCACTATAAAAATAAACAGTACACATACTATGATTATTGTCATAGAAGCCCTAGTACCTACTGGTAATATACATGAAGGGTAATTTATAAACCATAAAACAGCACTGAAATGTGCTGTCTCCCTCCTCCTTTATGGCACGGTAAATTAAACCTGTTAGCTATTCACAGGCTTACTATTAATTAAAGTTTTACCGACCAGTTAGAGTATTCTTATAAGATATAAAAATAAGATAACATTTTTAACTGTGGTGTTTTCAGCTGCTTGACTGCAGATTGTCTCAGGCAGCACATCCATCTAATGTATTTAATTTGTATAGGCACAGAGAGGAATAACATTTTGTAATAAAAGCAAACCTAAAGTTAGGTTCCTAACTGCTTGGCAACAAAATGCTCAGTAGATTCAATAGAAAATCAGGCTACTGATTTAAGTTGCTACTTATAGACTTTGGAGGCTAACTTTTGGCCCCCTGTTCCTTGACACTTTTGGCCAAAGTTTCAAACTAAATTGAAGATCTAAATGATTCTGGAAGCTTGTGTAGAGGTTAGCCCTTCCTGTGATACTTGTCCAAAATCCAGTCCTTTGTGAGGCACGTTCATGCTGTGAGTAACGTGAATGGCATATAAACTTAGAGAGGTTTGAACTCTCCTGAATTCTGGAAAGTTTCTGATCTGGATCTAAGGTTAGAGCACACACCCATAGAAGGATCATCCAGTCCTATCTTGTACCAAACTGATATCTCTGGGTTACAAACTATTTCCTTACTGCAACAGCCCCATTGACTTCAGTCCAAGTACACATGATTTTAATGGATGAGAATCTAAATTACTGTATTACATTACAGACCTGGAATTATTTTTTTTCACTTAGGAAATACACATTGCAGTTAGGACAGATAGACAGAATAGATAAAGACAGATGGCAAATCCTGTAAAGTACTTATAGATGGGTTTGTGCTGTAGACAAAAGCTTTCAAACAGAGATATTGTACAGATCTGCCATAGTGGAAAAATCCTTCACCTGAGAAAAATTTACCCTGAAGTCATGCAGAATGAGAGGTCACACAAGGAGCCAGTGAATCACAGCACAGCAGACAGGTTCTCATAAGATGGGGTCTCCTGGAGGTCAGGAATTTTTTTCAGGGGCAAATACACAGCAGGTGGCAGAGGAGGAGTAAGGTGTCACTTTCTCCTGCCTAGCTTTGGTCATGGACCAAGTAGAGAAGGAGTCAGCATGATCCTGTGGGAAGGAACTCTCTCTTTTCTCTACAAGTGGCCACAGTGGATTTAAATTTCAATGTCTGCTTGTTTGTCAGGCAGTTCATCATTTTTCAAGACAGTTGCCTAGCTAGCATGTCAGTCTATCAGGCAGCAACCAGTTGGGTGTGGCTGATTCTGTCAGGCAGAGATTTAGCTTGTTTGCTCACTCAGTCAGAAAGAGAACTGCCCTTTTGGAGGACATGTCTTCCAAAGTACATGTCTTCCTAAGTACATCTGTTAGTCTTCCAGCAAGCTGACCTGCTCGCCATATTAGTCCTTGGCTGTGGAACAGACTCAAGCAACAGACTTCTAAGCATCATTAACATACCTGTTGCAAAGTGGGTGACAGCTGGGTCACTCTCATTAGTCCCTCGTACAGCACTTATGGAGACTTCGTACTGTGAGCCAGGCCGCAGGGCTTGCATTGAATATTGGCTAAGAGGAGGCTGCAGGCGGAAGGTGGTCTTTCCCCCTTCCCCATTCACCAAGCCATACTTCAGCAGGATGTAGTCTACTTTGGCTCGTGGTGGGGTCCACTCCACAAAGGCCACTGTGTCTGAGACGTCTCGCACCATGATCTGGGTTGGCCCATCAATTACTGAACACCAAACAAACATGTTCGTTAGGGGAATTAAACATCAAGGCAAAACATCAATTACAGGGAATCCAGCCCTGGAACAAGAGCGGGTAGACTTGAAACCTCTTGTCTTTGAAGGAGCCAGTTGCATGTTTCAACTCAATAACTGGGCAAACAAAGTGGGAAAACAAACAAGAGTTGTGATACAAAACTGTTTAGATGAGTTGCTCCTGGCTGCCAAGTAATAAGATGTTACAAGAAGCATTATGGGGACTGCACTCAGAAGCCCCCCTCCAGTCCTGTATTTCTAATGGTGGGTGGATCTGAATAAATTCTTGAGTTTGGTCCAGATAGATACACAAAGCATAGGATTCTTATGGGAACTGTCCACTCATAAGCCAAAGTCCATGTATAGTGGGACTAAACCAAGAGGAGAACATGAATCATTACAGCTCTTTAAAGAAAGAGGCATAACCTAGTCATTCATTAGGTTAATGTGCTGCCTTAATAAAATGCCTTTGGGTTGGATTTTTATCCATGACAAAAGAACATAAAACACACATTAGCAAAAATTACTGGTGATTTTAGGTGCTTCAGTTTCTGGGTGCTCAATTTCAGGCCCCTTCAAGTGGTTTAATTTTTCAAAGGGTGGGTGCCTAGCACTTTCTGAGAATTGGGTGACTTTAAGAAATTTTTAACTGAGCCTTCAGAAAATGGAAGCAGCCAAAAATAATTTGGCAGTTTGGACCAAAATGTCTATACTCTAGGAAGACTAATACACCATTAATGCTACTAAAGTAACATAAATCAGTTGAAAGGCTAGAAGAGGCCATTGAGATCATGTAGTTTGTGTTCCTCTCTAATCTGTTCCCCTTTACAACATTTCTGAATTAGTTCTTATTATCACATTTTTTTTCCTCTTGTAGGTACTTGTAGATTGGATCCAAGTTACTCCTTAACCTCTTTTTTAAGTGATAGATTGAACTCCTTGAGTCTCCCTTGCTGTTCAGCATATTTTCTAATATTCTAACCACTCTTGTGGCTCTTTTCTTAACCCTCTCCAGAATATCAGAATCCTCTCTGAACTGTGGATACTGGAACTGGATTGAATATTCCAATAGCAGCTACACCAGTGCAAAATACTGAGGAAATAACTTATATCTCCTCCTCAACAGTCTCATATTTATACTTCCAAAGATTGCATTTGTTCTAGAGTTGAATCTAGAGTTGTACTGCAACTCATGTCTAGCTGAGTATCTTCTGTGAACCTTCACAAGTGTTTTTCTGCCACTCCTCCCTAGGATAAAATCCGCTATGCTGTAACCGTAGTCTACATTCTCTTGCCTTAAATTTGGTCATTTAAAAATGCATAATGTTTGCTTGTCTGTAGTTTACAAAGCAATTCAGATTGCTATATATCAGTGCTGCTTCCTCTGTATTATTTACTACTTGCCCAGTTTTTGTGGCACCTGTACATTTTTTTGAAAGTGGTGAATTTATATTTTCTTATAGGTCACTGATTAAGGTTGAAGAACTGATTTTTTAGGAACTTCACTAGAAACACATTGGTTTTAATGGTGATTCTTTGTTTACAGGTGCATTTGGAGACCTACCAGTTAGCCAGTTTCTTATAACCTGTAGATTTCTAGTATATTTTAAACATGGAAAGGAGATGAGAAAACAGCTTGCGTTGTCAAGAAACTAGCCATCAGTTACAATATTCCAGCTGCCCTACCTGCCCTTCACAAAGTCTCTTGAGCCTGGAATAGCTAGTCTGAAAATTGCATGAAAAATGATTTGCCTCTTGGGATCTCCACTGCTCTCTGTTGATGTTTGAATCCCACCTGACCATTTTGACCCTTTTGCTTTTTCCCTTAGAAGGAACTCAGAACTGTGGACTGCATAGACATGAAAAATATTCTTAAGAAAGCAGTACTTTTCTGAGAAGTTTTGGTTCAAATTCTGGGTCAATGCCATTTGGAGTATAACCTTTTCATAGCCCTAAGCATTGTAATGGTAGACAAGAGCCAAACACTTTGTTATTGCTCATGTACCATAGCAACATTAACATTCAGTGTCTGCTAAGCAGCCAATTCTGAGACTTATTTTCTATCTGGGGATCTAAGGCCTATTATCCAGCTTTTTATTGTGTGGGTTTTCTTTGACTAGTGATAGCATAAATTATATTAAGCAACTAGTAATAAATAAGTTGACATTGACATTCACTTAGTGCATGTAAAAAAAAGATATATTTAAAATGCATTTTCTATGTGTCATAAATGTCATCAAGTAATAGGCACTAAATGTGCAGATGTCCAAGGTGAGATGGAGTGACTGAGGCAGGTAAGACCCTCCTGTGGCCAGGCAGCATGGTGCTGATCCAGCTCAGGTTCTAGGATCAGGTGGTTCAGAGCTGCTCCTACTTTGTCCTAGCATCCATCTCCTACATCAGGGTGGTGCAGAGCTTCTCCAGCTTGGTTCCTATGGCTGTTGGGGTTGAGGGTTGCTCCAGATTTGACAAAGGAACACTCACCCTCCCCTCTCCTTCCATTGAAGTTTTTCTCAGGGTGCCAAAATTTATAGCTTTGCCTCTGGATGGATGATAGGAGGAATGGAGGAAGAGAGGAAGAGAGGATGTATGAAAGACTTGGGTATTTTTGAGTGAGTGCAGAAATCAGGGATATTTGTGGGAGCAAGGGAGGTGTTAGTAGAGTGGAGGGATGGGGCAGTTGAGTGACCCTGTTCCTAGGTCCTGGCATCAGAGACTAATGACCAGATTTCACCCCCCCCACATGACCCATGCCTTGTCCAGTCACTTATACCAGTGCAAAGTGAGCGAGGAATGTTATCAGATCAGAATGGTTTGGGCTCTCTTTCTCTTCTTTCTTTGGCACTTATGTAAATGACTATATCAGGGGTAGCACATTGCAGAACTGAGCTCCAAACACTGAAAACTAGAGAAAAAGGAGGGATATGAGGAACAGCAACAATACAAGTCACTTTTCAATCCAAACTCTATTGTGCTTGGTGTGCACTGGCCTTATTACATTATTCTATTTTTTTCTCTGTGCTACATGGTTGAAGGGATGTTTCATTGAGTTTAATGAGGATGGCTGTATAATACTGTTCCTTCCTCACCCTCCCAAGCATGGAGTTGTCCAGATTCTCTTCTGATTCAGCCAGGTATATAAATCAAAGGACATAAATATAAAGCAACCTCCCCCTCCCGCAAAAAAACCCAACCAAACAAAACACAAAACAAAAAAACCCCTTGCATGGCTTTCTGCTCAGGTAGAAAGAGTTATTAGTAGTTTTAAAACAAGTCCCTGAGAGTTTTTTAAACATGAAAACTGCTGTTGTAACTGAACAAAATGCTGATTTTGCACCGTTTCACTTGGCTTTTCAAAGATGCCAAAGGGAGTTAGGAGCTTATATATCCTAGTGAGATTCAATGCTGTTTGACCGCTTAATGTCCCTATGGTCCTCTGAGAATCCCAGTTTCTGTGTGAATGTTTTGCATGCCAGTATTAATATAGCCCAGTCAGCAGGCTATCCAGAATGTGCTGAATTCCTTGCAACAAAAACTGTGTAAAATTTCTGTAGAGAAAGTTTTAAACCATACTGGCAAAGTTCCCTGGTTTCAGCTACATTAGCCAGGGTCACCCAAGGTTTTTGAGCCTAGACTACTGCGCGGCTTAGAGCAGAATTCCTGCAAAGTTCTTCTATTGCCTCAAGCCAGACCATTCCTGGATGGCTCTGCTAAGTGTGGAGCAGAGATTTTGGGTGTATTTCAACTGGAAATTCAAAGCCAAGCTGAGGGGTGCAAACCCCAGTGAACCTTAAATGAATAGCAAAGCTTGCAGAAAAGATGGACTTGACCCAAACCTCTATATCCAAACACCCTTGGACTTCAGGAGAATTTAGTATCACACTTTATGGCCAATCCCTCAAGGCAGAATAAGCCAAGCCAAACCTTTAGATCTAACCCTTGGACATGGGAACGGTGGGAGCCAAAATTGAACAGCCTGAAGCCATCTTTTGGCATTATAAGGAACCATGAGGTGCTGAGTAGATGCACATGTCAGAACGATATTCAGTGACTTGCTGGATGCAGGTTACACTAGATCAGGGGTGGCTAGTCTGCAGCATGCATGTCATAAGTGGCATGGGCAGCTTCTGCATGTGGCACATGACAGGTCAGGGCAGGAAGCAGAAAGCAGAGGAAAGGAATCAGAGTGGCACTTGGTGAGGGTGCAGGCTTAATTTATGGCAGGCCTGCCAAAAAGGGGGGCCCCCACTAGGCTAGATGATCAGAAGGATTCCTTCTGGACTGACAAGCTGTGATTTCTACCAACCTTGTTTGAACAATCCCCCACGAACTGAAACTATCGAGTCTGAGGCAGCTTTCTTGTCCTGGGGAAAGGAAACATTGGGGCATGGCCAATAGATGGCTCTGTTAAGCCACCACATGCAAGTAGCTGCTACACATAGCAGGAAAACAGTAGGGAAGAATTTGTGTTCGTGTGTGCTGAGATCAAGCAGACTAAAAGCTAGAACAAGATGAACGATTCTGTAAAGTTCGGAAGACCTTCCCACTTGCACTGCAAAGACTGCTTTATTACATTGAGCTTTTAAGATAAAGGCTCCTAGGAGCCTGGCAGTCCCTGACAACACTAAACCCCCAATTAACAACTTCTCTCGAACATTCCCCCTTTATGACCTTCCAAGAGCTTTTTGAAGTGCCTGTTTCTGTTTGCAGATTGCCTGGATGGAGGGAGACATCTGGCTGGCTTGCAGAAATTCAGAGTGAGGGCAGAACTTGCTACACTTGGTAGGCATATACTTTGCCCAGTGTTGTATTTTCCTGAGTAAAGAAAGGGTTTCTTTGCCCTCAGTCTGTACACTCATAGAAGGTAATCTAATTTATGCGGGCAGCAATGGGCTTGAAGTTAGCACAAAAAACTGGTGATGAGGGAATTCGGGTTTGGTTCCTGACTTTGCTACTCACAGCCTGACCTGGGCCCTGGACAGGAGTTGAGGGCACTCAGGAGCACCTTTGGGAACCTGGACCTTATTTCTCTGTCCCTTGTGTGGACATTGCCATTGTTTGAGCAGTTCTTGAGAGCTGGGAATACTAAGCCTTTCACCTCAGAAATATGTCCAAGGGGAGATTATTGAAGAAGAGGACTTTAACTGGATAGAATAATAGCTGAGCTCAGCCTTCACTCAGAACTCCACTTGATCTCTGTTTAAGCTCACTTAACCTTTCCTCTGCTTCCTCTCTGCTGGCATCAGAGCAGGTCTGATAGTGACAAAACACTGCAAGAGAGGCTGTTGTTGTCATGTTTCTCAACTGCTTTTGCATCCTGGCAGGATTCAGATCAGCCCCCAGAATTTAAGGTACTTGTTTAAGCCAAATCACAGTTCAGTTTACAAGAAGTTCTTCCATTATTAATGTGTTTTGGGCACTACAAGTACACAAGTTAGTCAAGTGTTATCAACGATAGGCCTGGGTTATAGAATTTGCATTTGGATCTGAAATTTTTTCACAGGTAGGAGGGTTTGGCTCTGATATCTCGAATTATTACTTTGCTTGCATAAATATCACAGACCAATTCCATGCCATGTGCAAATCAGTGGAGTTACACCAGGGCTGAATTTGTCCCTCTGAGTTTGTGAGCAAATGGAAATCCAGTGTTGCAAATTACCTTCAATGGTGAGGACAAATGTGTTTGGAAAACATGGATCAAAACACACACTCAGGGCTCCAGGTCAATCCAAATGTGTCTCTTCAAAGGCTTAAGAACTTTTCAGTTTTGAGCCAAAGGGAGCTACTGAGGAGTTGTCTCTTTGTGTGACTGTATTGTTGGTGAAAGGTTCAAGAAGAAAAATCCTAAGATCTGGAGTCCTGTTTCTACCCCTGGGACTACTAAGCCTCTTGCAGGGGAAGTGCATCCTAACCACACTGTGTGCCTCTGTCATGCTGTATTGTGACCACCTCTAACTCCGGAAGAAGATTCAGCATCCATGGCTTCTTCATTCTTTGGGCCCCAAACCAGGTCTGCCAATGATGGAAACAATTCATCCCAAATGGGATGTTGGTTCTCTGTGATACAGGTATGTATTCCCCAGGAATTTTGTATCATAACTGATGTTTTGTTTCACATGCCCACCAAGCTATCTCTACCATCTGATGATAAGAGCCTTTGGCCCCTGTCTAACTGGATTAGATTTAAGCTGGTGATCTGGGGCTGAAAGTCTCTGTTGTGCTTTGCCTCCTAGTGCTTGATGACTGCCTGGAGTTGTGGAAAGACAGACTGTGACTGTGGGGTAAAGGGCAGAGCCACTCACAGGTTGAGACGCTGTCAGAAGTAGGGGGGCTCCTGGCTTGTTCCTTGAGTGCTACGACATTGACGGTGTACTCTTCCCCTGGTTTCAGTCCTGTCTGGTTGAAGGTGGTGACACTGCTAGGAAGCTGTGCAATCACGCCGCCTTCATTGTTCTGGGGAGATAAAAATAATCATCTGAAACTGGCAATACATTCGAAGGAATCAACAGTTAGAGGAGATGATGGGGTTAGACAGGAGACTACCACGGCCTTGATACATAGGGTCAGACACTAGGAATGATGCAACACTCTAGGGCCATAATCCCTGGACACCTAGGTTATTTCATAAATGGCCTTTATTCAATCAGCTAAAATACTACCTGATTAATTCTATTGTTTTCAGTGAATTTCTTGCATGAGGAATTGCTCATCCCTATGAATGGGGGCTTTTCAATCAGGCCACAATATCAGCCATGTCTAAAGAAAGGTGATTTCTTCCAGCAAGAATGGTTCAGAACTAATCAGATAAATCTCCCTCACCCTTGGGTTGTTGCTTTCAGACTATTGACTTTATAGGCAGGAGGCATTTTATTCAGTCCTCATTTTTAATGCATGTACACATGTGCTTGCATGTATAGCTGATTGCCTGATTCCACAGGAGGTCACGCAATGAAAGCAGGGGCCCAGGACGGATCTCTGTTTCTTTGCTGGTGATCCTTGGGTGATAGCTGTTTTTTGTGGTTTATATCTAGCTGTGAAACTAGGAGGCCTTTGTTTTTGGTGCAGGGTGCTTTTCAAGTGTTTCTATTAAGTCATTGCACTCTATGGTTTTCCTCTGGAAAATGTACCTCTTTAAGCAACTGCAAATGTCACCTTTCCTGTCAGTATTTGGACAATAGATCTTTTCTTGCCACTGTCTTCACTAATAATACAGTAAGCAAATCTTTGCACATAGATTTCAATTCAAATTTTTCTTGTTTCTCATTAAATTGGAAATCTTCCACTTGATCCACAAATGCCATTTCATAGTTTCTAATTTTCTTTTCTTTTTTTTTTACCCCTTTGTTGCTCCATCATTTTCTCTACTCTTTATTGTTTTGTAGAACCATTCTCACTGCCACAAATTACAGTGCATTTCCATATGCAAAACAACCATATATTTGCAGTCCAAAATGAGTTATATTTTATATTATGGAGCACCAACAAGGAAGAATAGAAATACAGACTCCTTGCAAGGGCTCAGCATGTATAGCTCTGTAAGAGGCTGCCCGCCTTGTGAGAACAAAATGGATACCGCCTTATATACAGGATTCTACAGAAAGGTTCACTGTTCAGAAAGCAATGATATCAGAACTTTATAACCATATACACCCCAGTTTTAATGTTAATGTGATCTTGCAGCATATATTATATTTATACTCTTTATGCTGTGTGTACATTTCCTTTAGATGGGAAAATGAAAATGTATTGGTTAGTTTTAATTTTGTCATAGCAGTGGTTTTTAGCCTTTTTTCATTTGCAGACCCCTAGAATTTTCAAATGGAGGTGTGGACCCCTTTGGAAATTTTGAATGGAGGTGTGGATCCTTTTGAAATGTAAGTGTGGGTATCTGCATACTTTTGATTGATCGTAGTTGGTCCGTGGACCACAGGTTGAAAACCACTGTATTATAGTTTGCTTCTAGTCAATTTTAACTTTTAAGGTCTTATGAAGACAATACATTGCTGTACTGCTTAGGGGGAATAGTCTTTTCTGGATTCGCCCTCCTCCTGTGCCCACCCCTGCAATCCTGGAAATGTTTCCATTGATCGAAGAGTTTTAAGTGTTTAACTTCACAAAATTTAAATCTGAAACAAATTTGACCTGAAGTGTTAGTTCATTTAAGGTCACAGCTGCTACACTTAGGCTGCCATTTTCTAAGATGCTGTAGAGGCTTGACTGTAGAGGTTGAGAGAGATAAAGACCATACTTTTAATTATTTATCACATGAAGTGACACTGGGTGTGTCTACACCTGCCTCTTTTAAGTGGGCTTAGCCTAAAATTGTCATTTTTAAGGCACATTAAGGACATATGGCTACATGTGTGCGCCCTTAATGCACCTTAAAAATGGCAATTTAAGGCTATGTGAGCCTAAATTTGATACCTGCATAAAGCAGGTATCAAATTTAGGTGCGAATAGCTAGGTCACATTAGTGCATGTGTAGATGCACTAATGTGTATTAATGTGGTGCATGTCAATAGATATACATCGCATTAATGTGCATTAGTGTATCTGTACGTGCACTAATGCGACTTAGCTAGCCACGCCTAAATGTAATGTGCCTTAATGCGCGTTAATGTGTCCATATGTAGATGTGCACCTAAATCGGCTAAATGCATCTTAAACAAAGGCACATTAAGTTTAGGTGCATATAAATACATGTGTAGACATGCCACTGCTAACAAAATTCAGAGGCCCAAATCCTTTCCCTGCTGTGCCTGCTCTGCTCTGTTGTAAGACATTACTTACTGATCTGCACCAGTCTGTGCCATTCAGACAGCACAGGTTTCATGAGAGCAAAGGTCTAATAGGAAAATAGGAGCCACTGGTTTCTCTGTATTGTGTGAGGTGAATTCTGAATCTTAGAGGCCATACAACACTGTGGCATCATTACACTTGTGCCAGCACCCAATGGGGTCTCAGTGAAATGTGACTGTCAAGTGTCACTGAGTGTGAGTGCAGCCTGTCACACCATGTCACACTGCACTGCCAGTCATCAGAAAAATGAGGGACTGATTTCCTGAGACATGGGACAGGATCAGGAATAGGTCTGTGCAATGAATCTGGGGAGAGTGGGTGTCCTAACAAAGAACTAAGCTGAGACAGAAGCTCTCTTGTATGACTTGATTTCTTAATGGATAGAACAATGTTAATCTGTCTCACAGGGTGTTGCAAAGCTTAATGCGTAACTATTTATAAACCATTTTAAAGATGTGCTAGTTTTTGCTAGCTCATGTAAGCCTTTGGGAGTGCTTCCATTAGAATGTCTTATTTTTAGTGGTTTATCCTGACTTTGAAAGAAAATTACCTCTGGGCTTATCAATACAACATATGAACTTCCATTCATAAGAGAATTTTGTGTGTGAAATTACAGTGGTATCCCTCCAGCTCTGTCAGAAACTAAACCTGAAAAACAAAATTGTTTAAATTATTTTTTATCTTACTTTTGGACTGTTTGTAATTAGAGTACCACTATTCTATATTTTAAAACTTTAGGGCCAAGTTTTGCAGTTCTTCATTACACTGAATTTTAATGTAAAAAAAAAAGTAAGGACTATATAGTTTGGCTCCCAATTGACATTTATTTTATTGTAAAGCATAGGGTACTTTTGTAGAGTGGTGCTGTAAACAGGGTAAGCTATTTATGTACAGTTTGGTACAGATAACATATTAATATTAAACAGTTGATGAATATTTTAAATATTGGTGTGTTTAAAAGATAGCTGATAGAGTAACATTTTCAGTCCTAAACTTTGATTACTACAGGCAAAAATTTCATTTGTTCATAACTGTAGTGAAGATTCTGCCAAGAGAATTATTTTCATATGTGATTTAGCTAAGGACTGTCACTTAGTACTTCAGAAAATCAGACGTTTTATTAGATTTAGGTGCCTAAGTTTAGACACCCATGTATATTTATTTAATGGTTTGTGTGATGTGGTGATTAAATGTCGCCTTTTTTAAGTCATGCTTTAGGACAGGTGAATTATTTCTGAACTGTTCTGAAAAGTTTGGTCTAGTTTGGGTTCATAAGGTGGAAGAGAGTGAAAGGGAAATGGGAAGGTGGATGGGAGAGGGGAAGAGAGAGAGAGTGGTAATGGAAAGGAGACGGAAAAAGAGAGAGAGGGAAGGGAGCAAGAGGACAGAGTAAGAGGGAAGAGGAACTAGAGGGTATGATTACTTTCATGGTTATATGTTGATGTCTTTCATAGCATTCCTTCTAAAACAATGTACTGGTATACCTCGATAAAAAGGATCGCCGGAGAAACACAGTTCAGTGCAGAGCTGATATTCTTTATCCCAAGTTATAACAGAAATTTCAAAATTGCAACCTAAAGTTTTTGGGGGTGTTGGTTGTAGCCATGCTGGTCTAAGGACATAGGCAGACAAGGTTCTTTGGGTAAATCCAATATTTTTTATTTTTTATAAATAGTTGGAAAAATTTCAAAATAAAGTTTTAATACTTTCAGTTTAGGGTGGGGGGTTTGGTAGGTGCAGAGCAGCCTTGGGACATTATTCAGATGGTGTTTCCTGACTCTGTTTACCCAACTCTGTGCTGTGACCTATTCTGTATGTGACTGCTCCTTTTAATGGGATCTATCGTGATTGTCCACAAAACTGATAACACAGTGACAGTGGTGAGGAAGATAAAGTGGTAACTGATGCTGCTGTTACCTTGGGAATGAAGCTGATCTCCCAGCCATCAAAAGGGAATGCGAAGGACTCCCACTGCACCTCCACAGTGGTCTCTGTGATAGTCTTGAACTTCAATCCCCGTGGAACAGAGAGATCTAGAACACAACAATGTAGATGATAGCTATATGAGTCACAAACTGTGGCTCTGTTCTTGCTTCAGGGAAGCACAGCTCTCCATCGTGCTGGGCAAAAGATACCTCATCTCCTTTTCAGTTTAGTTTTCTTTTACAACACTGGGGAACAGGCTGGGTAACGCTAACTGTCACTTCCAAGTGGTGGCAAGAGTTAGGGAGAGAGTATCAGGAGTTTTTGCAAAATCAGGATATTCTACAGGGAAAGTTTAATTTTTCCCCTAAAATTTCAATGTTTCCACTGGGAAAATCAAAATGAGTTTATCCAGCTGCCCACCTTTCTCACTTCCACAGCTGGATGGTGAGCAGCTGGTTATTACAATGAGGCATTTTTTCTAGTGTCAGTGTTCTGCAGAGAAAAAATGACATGACATTTATCTTAAACCCCCAAACTGTTCCATGTGTCAAGGATAAGTGGAGGAGCACACTGCACGTAATTCCTAGCCAGTGTCAGACAAAGCAGCTTGCCCAGCAGGCAGCTCCTTCCTTTCCTAAAGTCCTCCCTGGTGATAATTAACAGGGGGAGCTTTAGTGCTTTTGAAGAGCTATCATCACAGTCAGAGACACTGAATAACAGTTTCATGGTACTTTGTCTAGAGCATGGGCATCACTCATGTGCTCTGTGAGAGTCCAGCTGCCTTCTCAAGGGCAGGAAAGACCCTCTTAGTGCAATGGCTTAAAGGGCCACTATCTAAAAGAGCATTCTCTGGAAAGGATGTTTCTTTCCTATGTTTCTAAATAGCATCTCAGCTATTTTCAGGGCTTGTATCTAACATGACTGTGCTATACCAAGGAAGGACAATTCAACACTCAGGGTCCTGATTTGGAATTTGGGAGACCTGGATTCAGTTTGTGCTCTGTCACAGGCTCCCTGTGATCTTGGGTAAGCCCCTAGGGCAGTTGTTCTCAACCTTGATATACTCAAGGCATTCCTTGTTGGGCTCAAGGCACCCCTCAGAAATTGTTAGCTCTTAGTTTTCACTTGCTTTTTTGACTATGGAAAAAGAATAGAACACATTTTTTGTTGCAAAGATCTCAGAAAGACCATGACAGGTGAGAATGTTTTGATGCTATTTGAAATCTCTGATTCATCTTGTGACTCATGTTTATACACTTAACAGTGCTAACACTGAGTGACACCCTGGGACACGTTTCATAGTTTCATAGTTTCTAGGGTCGGAAGGGACCTGAGCAGATCATCTAGTCCGACCCCCTGCCATGGCAGGAAATAGTACTGGGGTCAAACGACCCCAGTAAGGTAGTCATCCAACCTCCTCTTAAAAACCCCCAGGGTGGGAGCCTGCACCACCTCACTTGGAAGCTGGTTCCAGACCCTAGCCGCCCTGACCATGAAGTAGCGCCTCCTGATGTCCAACTTAAACCTTCCCTCCGCCAGCTTGTGACCATTGTTCCTGGTCACTCCTTGCGGCGCTCGGGGGAACAGGGACTCCCCCAGCGCCTGCTGATCCCCCCTAACCAGTTTATAACAGGCCACAAGATCCCCCCTCAGCCTTCTCTTTTGAAGGCTGAACAGGTTCAGGTCCCGCAACCTTTCCTCATAGGACCTACCCTGCTGTCCCTTGATCATACGAGTGGCCCTCCTCTGGACCCTCTCCATGCTGTCCACATCCTTCTTAAAGTGCGGCGCCCAGAACTGGACGCAGTACTCCAGCTGCAGCCTGACCAGTGCCGCATAGAGGGGGAGGATCACCTCCCTGGACCTGCTTGAGATGCATCTGTGGATGCACGACAAGGTGCAGTTGGCCTTTCTAGCCGCCTCCCCACATTGCTGACTCATGTTCATCCTGGAGTCAATAATGACTCCCAGAACCTTTTCCACCTCCGTGCTGAAAGGATCTCGAGGAACCCCAGGGTGCCATGGCATGCTGGTTGAGAACCGGTGTCATAAGGCTCATTTCTGTAAAGGTACATAGATACCAAATGCCTGTTGATTTCAGTACCTTTGAGTATCTTGGCCTTTGTGTCCCTGTGGCTCAGTTAGTATTTATACATAGGAAAATGGAGATAATAGAGCTCACTTCTCCAACTACCAGGGATGTTCTGAGGATAAACACACTGAAGTCTATAAGGTGCGTAGATATTACTGAAATAAAGGCCACAGAGTTGTCTCTGCCAGTCAGAGCTGTTCAGGAAAGGTCCTGCATTGGAGTCATTGGCAGCTCTGTGTTGCTGTTACTCAAAGGTCAGCAGCAGTGAAACAGAAGTAGCATCATGTGAATTTTAGTAAGGCAGAGTCTGCAGCCCCAGGACCTCTTTGATATGGGGCTGCTAAGGACCTCAAGGCTGCATGGTTTCTAGACTCATGGGGCAGCTGGAGTCAAGGAGGTTGGATAGGCTACCTCCTATCCAACCTCCTTTCCAGCCCCTGTCTTGGGGCTGGAAACCCTGGAAACGCTTAAGCCCCCACCTTCAAAGCAGTCTCTATGGTGTGGGTGTCCCCACAACTGTGGATCCTGGAAGCCCTGAAGTTTTGGGCCTCATGTGACAGCTTTATAAACTTCCAAAATCTGCTGAAGCCACTGGAAGGACTTGCACTAAATTTAATGGGTTTTGGATCTGATTCTGTACCAGGAAAGGTTTTAGAGAAGCATTCAGACTACAACGTTATGTCAATAACAGTCTCATAGTTGGACAAAGCTAATTCAGGAAAAGCCCTATATGTAGCTAAGTTTATTTCAGAGATGTGCTTCTAGCAAGGTAGCATTAATTTACAAGCAACAGAGCTGGTTAGAAAATGCCCACCTTCCTCTACCCCACTAGAAAATGTCAATCCTTGATGAAAAATCAAAAGCTGAACATTTTTGGCCACACGCTGAAAATTCTACTCGTGGAGTGCTATACTTGTGTCTAACAGGAGTTTGCCATTCAAGTCCCTTGTATTCCCATACTCCTCTATCAGCCAGGGTCTCCCATCAAAATCCCATGATGCACTATAATCCCTGTCCCCAGCACACATACACTTACTGAGCCAGGAGAACCTCTGGCCATGGTGCTTCATGGGAAATGCAGTCTGGTTGGGGGACCCTGCCACGGAGGTGAATGGCACCTGAGGCACCCAAGCCACTACTCCCAGGAGGCAGGGTAGCCATGTTTCTTATTAAACACATTTAGATTTTTTACCCAATGTACTTTGGTTTTCAAAAGACCTGGAAGCTTTTTAAGCTGCTCAGTTTTTCTTCAAAAAGCTGCTGAAATTTTCTGTGGGAAATGAACAATTCTGGCAAAAAAAAGATTTTTTTTGTCAAAAATCCAGTTTTCCATTGACAAACAGTTTTGAAGGAAAATTTTCAATAAACTTTATCAAGTAGTGTTATGTTGTAGCCAATACACCCCAGAAGCAGTGTTAGACTGGAAAGCTTTCTATTAGGGTCAGTGATAGCATAATATACAAATATCTCTACAGTAGAAGTAGACTAATTTTAGGGTTGCTGTGTATAGTATGAGTCTAGGAGATGCCTCTTCTTCCTAATCAAAAGAGTCTCCTCTGGTTATGTGGGGATGGAGCAGAAGCAATACTTACGGGTAGTCACCTTAACAGTGACAGGGACACTAAAGATGCCACTGATGACAGCATAGATACTGATATTGTATGTGAAGCCTGGTTCCAGCTCCTTGATGGTGATAGCACTCCAGTCTCCAGGCACTCGTTGCTGTAGCTGAATGCCCCCTGGTACTGCTGGCTGATAGGAGATCACATATTCTGTCACAGCCATTGGACCACCCCATTCCAGGTCAATGGACTGGTCACTGATTCCAGCCACTCTCAGGTCCTCGGGTGGAGCAACTAAAGGGAAAAGCAGTACACACAGAGAACATCAGAGCACGCATAGCTTATTCACCCTCTAACCTGACCCCTGGAGTGTGATGTTGTTCTTTGGCTACTGACTAGGTCAATTTTAGAATAGGTGTAATGTCTAGAGAATCTACCTCTGCTCCTGGTAGGGTGTCAAGTTCAAATGTCTGTCCCTAGTGTGGCTAGGGTACTGCACTGAGAGTCAGGAGACCCAGGTTCTTATCCTAGTTCCTTGAGCAAGTCACCTCACCACTTTGAGCCTCTGTTTCCCCTCAGCTTCTCTGTCTGCCTTGTTGATTTAATCTGGGGCAGGAACTCTGCATTTATCCAATGTCTAACACAATAGGGATTCAATCTTGCTTGAGGATCCTTAGTTCTTTGAATAATCAGTAACATTAAATGCTCCTAATGGTCCTGCACAAGGTGAACCACCTTCAGTAACCAGAAAAGAGGACCCAGTGGGCACATCAACACAAGACGCTAACTGCGCAGTAGCCTAATAATACTGCACAATAGCACATCATGGCACAAACTGTGCTATATGCGACTGTGCAGTATTATTAAGCTACTGTACAATAGCGTCACTAAAAAGGTGTGCACCAGCACTACAATGCAGTAACTTTGGTTACTGTGCATTAAATTAGTACTTGATTATGCAATACTAAATTTAATGTGTAGTAACCACTGCACATTAATGAACACGTAGACATACTCAGTGTATACGTGTGAGAGAGTGTGAGAGATAGAGAGAGTGAGCAAGAGTGAGCAAGCGAAGATGTTATACTCCGTTGTCACAGGGAATAACAGAGAATGCACACACAGTTATTCCAAACTCCTCAGTAACACCAAATGTGAAGGAGAGGAAGAAGTGCTATTTCCAATATCCATTTTTCCAACCAAGCTCTTTTAAATGAACTCTTCCTTAGGGAGCATATTCTTAACTCAGTGCAAGAGCTCTTCAGTGCTCAGTAAAGTTGGCTAGTTTCCATCGTCCACTTGTTAAATTTTCAAAGTAGCCCTTTCCAACTAGCCTTTTTGTACTTTTCCCCATGCTACTCCTCCTGCTTTCAGGGAGCTCCCCATAAACTGCAACATTGCCTTATCAGCCTCCTTCAGATTTTCCTTTTCCACAAAAAACTTGACCATGGTCAGGCTTTTGGTGCCCTGGGATGGCTGCCTGCCAATATTATCTGTGTTTCCTCGTGCTCCCCAGTTTGCATCCATTTGTGGTCTTTTGTCTACTTGGATTATAACTTCTTTGAAGCAGGGGCCATCTTTTTGTTCTGTGTTTGTACAGTCCATAGCACAGTGAGGTCCTGGTCTATGCATGGGGCTTTTACGCTATAAGGAAAAATAATACAGGGTAATGGAATTAAAGGTGAGGGAATCAGCTGAGGCTATGCTTCTTCAGCTAGGTCTCAGTACTCTGGCAAGATATGATCTGCTATCTGAATGCTGGGCTATGATGAGAGAATTTCTGAAGCAGCATCGGCCCTGGACTACAAGATTCAGATCTGGGTGTGAAATTTCCCAAATGTTTGGAAATGTTCACTTGCAAGGGTTTTGTCTGGGTCCAACTCATGCCATTTTATTCTTATATTGCAAAAGCACCTAGGAGCCCTTGTAAAAGAGAAGTGCCTTTCTGTGTGAGGTGCCTCAAGCCATCAGAGAACAAAGAGCCCACTCTTGCT